CTTTGAATTGGCTGCCGGAGCTTCCTGCAGCCAATCCAAAGCTGTGCCAGCATCGCCACCTGCCCAGAAGCCATGCCAGCATAGTGGAAGTCAGTCCCTGTGCGGTGAGGCATCCGCAGAGCGCAGGGACTGACAAAGCGGGTGGCAGGGACCACGGGCCGGATTTATGAGCCTAGGGGGCTGCATCCAGCCCCCGGGCCATAGTTTGCTGACCCCTGCACCATAGTTATACCACTGGGAGTAACAACCCATGTGGTATAAGGAAATGTCATGTGAACTATCATAATGTTTGAGAGATCACATAGCCGTCTTCCAAGGTTCAAAGTGCAGGTTGAATAGAGGTGATGGGGCAAATTTGTCTTCTACAGCTCTAGAGGGCAGGACCAGAACCAAAAAGTTCAAATTGCATGAAATTTAGACTAAACATAAGAAAGATGTTCTGACAGCAGTGCAGTGAGGGCTTCACTTGTTCAGTGAATCCAGGTGAGAGACGGGTGATGCAGCAGCAGTAAAGACTGTTTCATACTCTCAGGTATTTGAGGCTGGTAAAATATTGATATGACCTCAAGTGACCTGTTAAGCTCTTTGCTTTGAAAGTAGGCAAAGTTTCACTCTATGGTACACATTCCAGATGAGCTTCTAATATTGTGTTTTTAAACACCTCCCTCTTGACTTTGCCTTTTAACTTGCTTTTTTCTCACCACCAATTCCCTCATTTTGGGGAAATGTCCTCTTCTGAAGTCAAATGTGACCATGTTGGGTTTCCCCCGCGATGGGGTGAGCTCCCATTGCTCTGTCCCAGCTCCTGCCAACCTAGCAGTTTGAAAGCATGCCAAAAAGTGCAAGTAGATAAATAGGTACTGCTGCGGCGGGAAGGTAATTGACGTTTCCGTGCGTTCTGGCTTCTGTCATGGTGTCCCATTGTGCCAGAAGCAGTTTAGTCATGCTGGCCACATGACCCGGAAAGCTGTTTGCAGACAAACGCCGGCTCCCTCGGCCTGAAAGCGAGATGAGCACCGCAACCCCATTTGAGTGGACTTAACCAGGGGTCCTTTACCTTTTTGCATCCTAAGTGCTGCAAGCATCTAGAAACCATTTTTGTTAGAAAGCAGGGGAGAAAGAACCAGGGGTCTCCTTGGACCACATCATAAAAAATTAGCAAATATGAGTTGGAGGAATCTCTGCTTGTACAGATTCTAGGCATACAGTCTAATTTGCCTGTCCCCATTGCAATCCAAGCACAGCCCTTCATTTGTCGAATGAGGAGGTTCACTCCAAATTGTGGAAATATTTGAAGTCCATCCCCATCCCTACTTTGCTGTGATGTGTGTGACTCCAAAACTTTTAGAGGTAGACCCGCCCCCCCCTCAGGGTTGAACGGTTCAATCTTCCCTCAATTTCTCATGGCATAGATGGCTTCCATTCAAGCCAGCTCCCCCGCCCGCCCTCCTTCACTCCACCCTCTTTTGTTCTTCCTCCCACCCCCCACAAAACTAGCCAAACATTTGTAATAAGGTCTAAAACTTGAGGCTCCCCAAGATCTTCAAGGAGGTGTGATATCTCAGCATGAAGGGTTGCTGGTAAGGAAGGGCATAGGTGTTGTTCCAGAAAGTATGGATTGGATAGGTTCACTTTTGAATGCGAACAGAATCAAATTTCTCCCCCATTGGGGCACATCTCCTTTGTCTATCCTTATGAAAGAGAGGAGCACACACAAGATCTCCAGAACATCTGGCCCAGAGCTGACCTCCAGGACCTTGCCCAGGAGCTTTAGAGATTTCCGAGTAATTGCCACCAGGTTTTCGAGATCTCCTTCCCCTGAGACAAAGCAGTTTTCTGGCAGTTTTCAGACAGCCTCACTCCCAGAGGGGAAACGTTTCTTCCATAATTGTCAACGCCATAAAAAAGCACAGGGATAATCTCTCCTGGAACAGCAAAGGCAGGCTTAGTGTTTGCTGCTGCGGAAAACGTGTCACATTGACCATGCCATAAAGTCAGGTATGTGCAAAGCGCTGTTTGAGATATAAACTTTTTGATCAGTTCCAGATAGATCTCTCACAGTATTGTGAAATGACAGAGCTTGTATCGTTTAAGTATGGATAGCATAAGAACCCCAGAACAGCCCTGCAGCAACAGACCAAGAGTCCAGCTGCTCCCTGACCGCTTCATTTTTAAGTCTTTGCTTTAGAGCTCCGTGGATCTTTGGCATTTCTGCCAAAGAAGGTAGGCTTCCGAAAACCTTTTGCGAAATGGCAGAAAATCTGAATTTAATAGATATTTGGAGAAATAAACATTTATTAGATAGGGAATTCACGTTTTATTCACATGTGCATGGAAGTAGTGCCAGAAATAATGCCATCTGGATATCTAAAGAATTGGAATTAATAGTAAGAAAAATAGAAATAAAACCAAGAACATTATCGGAACATAACCCATTATTAATGGAGTCACTGGATACTTCTAAATAGTAATATAAGAATAATCTAACAACCTGTTCCCAGCAGGAGGAAGAGAAGTGTCAAAGAGGTCACCAAGTCTGCTCACAGCCAAATATATGCACCTGGGATGCCAGGTGGGTCCAACAGGAAAGATGTTTGTGGAAACTTCAGCTGTGGGGCCTAGATGCTTCAAAGGCAAGGTGTGTTTAGGGAACGCTCTGTGGGTGGTCCCTCAAGAACGATTGGCTTGGGATGTTTAGATTTATCAACTCCCAGTTCAGACCTACAGCCACTACACAAATCAGTGGTGGAGGGAGTGTCCCAGTTTCCCTTTCAGCTCAATCAAACTGGCTTTAGGATCCATGAGCTACACAAGTGATGCTAAGCTCCCGACAGGCTGCAGAACAGAGCGGAAGAAAATCAGGGTTGCCCCACTGATTTGCTGAAAGACCAGCTCCCATCCGTTCTCCACAAGAGAGGCTGAGTAGACATTCCAACAGGCTACCACAGGTAGTCTCTGCAAGAACTGTAGCTTTAAGTGCGGAATAGCTTCTTCTGCTTCCCTCCCCAAGCATTTCTCTGTCACATCATTTTAAATAGAAACCTAAGAGCAGAAACCCTCTTGCTAATGAACTTCAGAAGCCACTTTGGCAGCACCTTTGGCAAAGCTGTGGATTAAAACTTTCTAAATAACAAATGTGGTTTTTTTTGTAAGATATTTATTAAGATTTTCAAAATATTACAAAATAAAAAGAAAAAAAAGAAAAATACAAAATAAAAATAATTAAAAACAACACAATCTTTCCATTACTTATTTTTCATTAGCTTATTTCCCGGACCTCCTCACGCCTCCCTTTTTTGTATTCCAGTTCAGTTTGTTGGTTCAGCAAATTCTTCCCCTCTTTGTTTATCCTAATCTTTGATCTTAAAATATTGTAACATTAAATTTTTACCTATTAATAATCCATTTTTCATATTCCCTTATAGTATTGCAGCTAAAAACCACTTAATTTCTATCCAACATCATTCTAACATTCATTAATTTTACAATATTTCTGTAAATAGTCTTTAAATTTCTTCCAATCTTCTTCCACCGACTCTTCTCCCTGGTCTCGGATTCTGCCAGTCATTTCCGCCAGTTCCATATAGTCAATCACCTTCATCTGCCATTCTTCCAGAATGGGTAAATCTTGTGTCTTCCAATACTTTGCAATGAGTATTCTTGCTGCTGTTGTGGCAAATGAGTAAATCATAAAACTGACACTGGATGGGTTTAGAAGAGGAAATAATATGTCTGAGTTGGAATATTTCTTTTCCAAATGGGTTTTGAGGCTCTAATACAATGTCTGATGTTGGACTAAACTAGGATAGAACCTGTAAAATAATACCAGATTTACAGATATCCATTTGACTTTTTTTTTTTTTTTAATGATATTTATTGAGAATTTTTTAAAAAAAATTACACAAAAGAAAGAATAAAAAGACAAAAAAAGAAAAAGAAAAAGTAAAACCGCCATTCTCCAATTCTCCACTTTCAATACCTTCTTTCCTTGACCTCCTCCTCCTCCCTTTTCCTGTATCCTGATTTATAATAATCACAGCAAATCCTTTCCATAATTCATAATATTCTGTCCTCACATTACCTTAATCTATTTTCATCTTATCTTATATATAAAAAAGTTTAGAACTTAAATCTTAATTTTTACCAACTTCTCCTAACCATAACATTCTTACCTAATTCTTTAGACATTTTTATAAGAGCCAAATAATTTCATTTCAACATTTTCCTAACATTCATCAATTTTGTAAAACAGTCCTAATGATAAAAATAGAAAATTAAGCAATCCAATCTTCATCCAGCGTCCCTTCCTCCTGGTCCCGGGTTTTGTCAGTCCTTTTTGTCCTATTAATCTAGCACATTAACCTGGCAATCTTATATCCGAGGCCCTCAAGTCTCTTCCATGTCCCTTCCGCAGCTCTTCTTCATATTTTCCTTTTATTCGTGGGAACTCCAGCTTGGTAATGTTTTTGACCCTTTTCAACAAAACAGTCCCTTTTCCATAGTCCAGACTAGACTCGATGTAGTATTTAAAAACATGTTCCAGATTCCCTTCAAAGTTGAGAGCCCCCACTGCTCCAGACATCTGACGGCCCCTTTCCAGACTCGAAAAGTCCAAATCTCCTGTATAGGGGGGTCTATCCAACCCCCCATTTCCAAACCAAACCAAATTTTATCTTTCCAAGTCTGGTCTTATCCAAGTTCATTTGTCAAATCCAAAAATTTATATTCCTGCTGGGCCGCAGCTCCTTCCGTCTCTGGCGCCCAAGATTCAGCAGAATCCTCTTCTCTCAGCTGTTCTGTCATGGCACGCTCCTGTTTTAGTTCCTGGGTGGGCTCCATATAATTTCCCACTACCTGTTCAAAGGTTCTGGCCGCATTAGTCATCAAATCCGTCTTCTGGCTTAACTGATCCAATAGGGCATTTATTTTGCAGAAAGCACCCAGATATCCATTTGACTTTTATTCCTTAATATCTTTCCACCAAAAGCACTAGGTGAATGATGTCCTCCATCGCCAGTTTCAACGAGAGCCTTGTGAGCCACCAAACCTTTGTCTTGATTGGCATCCTTGGGATGCAGGAGAAGAATTCTTGGGTGGCCTTCCCACTGTTTGTGCTCTACGCCCTGACTCTGCTTGGGAACATCACGATCCTCTATGTCATCAAGATTGACCAAAGCCTCCATGAGCCCATGTACTTCTTCCTTTGCCTGCTCGCCTGCTCAGATCTGGGCCTCTGCATGTCCACCATGCCAACTATGCTGGGGGTCTATTGGTTTGACTCTGGGGAAATCCCATTCAATGCTTGCATCAGCCAGATGTTTTTTATCCATTCATTCCAATGGGCAGAGTCTGGCATTCTTGTGGCAATGGCATTTGATCGCTTGATTGCCATCCGTGATCCACTGAGATACAGATCACGTCTCCCAAATACGTTAATTGCAAAAATCGGCATAGCTGTCTTTTCCAGAAGTTTCTGTATCTGTTTCCCACCCCCTTTTCTTCTTTCAAAGCTCCCTTTCTGCCGATCCAATGTCCTTTCTCATTCATACTGTCTCCACCAAGATGCCATGAAGTTAGCCTGCGCAGACACAAGAGTCAACGTTTTATATGGTTTGATAGCAATTATTTCCACTTTAGGCTTGGATGTATTCATCATTCTTGTATCATATGTCCTGATTCTGAAGACTGTTTTGCGCATTGCATCCCGAAAAGAGTGTCTGAAGGCTTTGAACACCTGTGTGGCCCACATTGCTGCCATTTTGATATTCTATGTGCCAATGATTGGCATCAGTATGGCACATCGATTTGGGAGACACCTTTCCCCCATTATCCACATGCTGATGGCCAACATTTTTGTTACGGTCCCTCCACTTCTCAATCCTGTTGCGTATAGCGTGAAGACCCAGCAGATTCGACAGAGGTTATGCAACATTTTCCAGTTTAGAAAAAGTAGGGGTTGATATTTATTTTGAAATGCCTTTTATTTATTTAGGATAATTATTTGATAAAGTGGTTTAAAATTAGGGATGGGTTGAACCATATCTCCTCCAGAAGTCTCTGTGTCTGCTTCCCATTCCCATTCCCATTTCTAATTAAATGGCTCAATTTCTGCCAATCTAATGTGCTTACTCATTCATACTGTCTTCACCCTGACACAATGAAGTTAGCCTGTTTTGGCGCAAAAGTCAAGATTTGTATGGTTTGCAGAGACACAGCTAACTTCATATAGATCCCATTAGACAACTGGATTTTCTGTAACCCTTTCCCCACAAATATTGTGCATTTAGTGTGCTTGTAGTAGTAAGCAGAACTCCAGGACCTTGCTCAGGAGCTTTAGAGATTTCCCAGTAATCTACAAGAGTATGCGGCACAACCGCTTAAAGATGTAATGAATGAGATTTTAAATATTGGGAAAGTACGAGAGTCTTGGACAGAGGCCTATATCACATTGATCCCAAAGCAGGCCGATTTCTCTATTAAATAATGATTATGAATTATTTGCAAATCATATGAAAGGGATGTTAAAGGATTTAATTCATCATGAACAGGCTGTTTTTTTACCAAGCCACCAGGTGAAGGACAACTTAAGGAGTATAATTGATATTATAGGATATCTGGGGGCCAGGAATGAAAAACAAGCTGCATTGATGTTTATAGATGCAGAGAAGGCATTTGACAATGTCTCATGGTCATTTATGAGAAAAAGAAATGATGAACTTTGGAGAGGCATTTGGTAGAGGTATTGAGGCAATTTATTCAGACCAACAGACTATGTTGATTGTCAATAATGTGATGACTGAAAAATGTAAAATAACAAAGGGGACAATACAAGGGTGTCTCCTGTCACCGTTATTGTTTATTTTAGTGTTAGAAACATTGCCAAGGCATATCAGATCAGATGAGACAATAAGAGGAATAATGGTAAAACATATAAACTGAAAGCTTTTGCAGATGACCTTCTGATTACTGTGGAAGATCTGAAGAGTAGCATACCAAGAGTCTTGGAGAGGATCCAGGAATTTGGTCATGTGGCAGGTTTCAAATTAAATAAAAATAAAGATAAGGTTTTGGTGAAAAACATGACAGAGCAATATAAAAAGGACCTACAGCAAACCACTGATTTATGTAGAGAGAAAAAGTTAAATATGTAGGTGTATGGTTCACAGTTAAGAATATAAATATTTTTAAAGATAATTACACAGCTACTTGGAAAGAAATAAAGAAAAACATAGAGATTTCAAAGAATGGCAAAAAAAATATATTCTAGATTTATCTGACAGGGGGGTAAACCTAGACTAAAATATAAATTATTAACAGATGCTAAAGAAAGAGGGGGCTCCACCCTGCCAGATTTAAAATTCTATTAAGAGGCCCTGTCTCTGTTGGCTCAGGGAATGGATAATATTGAAAAGCATAAATATTCTAGATTTGGAAGGACATAATAACAGATTTGGATTGCATGCATATCTCTGCTATGAAAAAGCAAAAGTACAAAAAGGGTTCCAGAATCATTTAGTTATAAAATCAGTTTTTACTGTTTGGGGAAAATATGAAAACTTACTAGAACAGAAAACACCGTGGTGGCTTTTCCCGCTAGAAGCGACATCTCTGGAAAAAACTAAACATGAGAAGTAATTGGGAAATACAGGGAGCTGCTAAGTGAAGTAGAACATCAGCTGAAACTGAAAGATTTTGAAGAATTAAGGAATTTATTAACTAATTAATTACAGTTTCACCAATTAAATAATATTTTTAGGATAGACAAAAAGAAAGGTTTCAGCTATGAGACCTCAAGATTTGAAAAAAGATTTGTTAGAAAATAATATAAAATTACTGTCGAAAATGTACAGATTGCTCCTGGAATGGCATACAAAAGATGAACAGGTTAAATCTAATGATACACTGGGAGACGGATTTGGGGCATAATATTAAACTTTCAGATTGGGAAAGGTTATGGAAAACCGATTTGAAATTCTCAGCATGTTGTACACTGAAATAAAACGATATGAAAATGATGCACTGGTGGTATTTGACTCCTAGTAAATTAGCAAAAATGTATAAGACAAGTACAAATACCAGCTGGAAATGTAAAGAAAAAGCAGGTGTGGTGGTCGTGTAAAGTAATAAAAGCATTCTGGGAAATGATATATAATGGAAAAAAAATGTTTAAAATAACCTTTATTAAAAAGAAAACCCAGAAGCGTTTTTATTAGAAATTGTAGATGCCAAGATCCCAAAGGAGCAGAAAAGACTTTATGTATGTGACAACAGCCGCACGGATGCTAGTAGCCCAGAGATGGAAAGAAGATAAAGTCCCTACCAGAGAGGAATGGCAGATGGACTACGCCAAAATGGCAAAACTGACCGGAAAGCTCAGGAACCAAGAAGACAAAAAGTTCAATAAAGAAAGGGGGGAGATTATAATTTATCTAGGAGACCACTGTAAGCAGATGGAAACATTGGCAGGATTCTAATAACACCTGTAATGGAGCAAATATCATGGACAATATGGAAAGATATAAAAAATGGATTATGAAATAAGATGCAGTTGAAAAGGTTGACAATAGGACCCATGGAGGGGAGGGTGGGAAGCCTGGTGATTCAGAGAACTCTCTAAATATGGATATGTATTTTGTATTGTTATAATTGTAAAATCAAATAAAAATTATTTCAAAAAGAAGAAGAGAAATTTCCGAGTAATTGCCCCCTGGGTTTCAGAGATCTCCTCCCCCTGAGGCACAGCAGTTTTCTGGCAGTTTTCAGACAGCCTCACTCCCAGAGGGGAAATGTTTCTTCCATAATTGTCAACGCCATAAAAAGCACAGGGATAATCTCTCCTGGAACAGCAAAGGCAGGCTTAGTGTTTGCTGCTGCGGAAAACGTGTCACATTGATCATGCCATAAAGTCAGGTATGTGCAAAGCGCTGTTTGAGATATAAACTTTTTGATCGGTTCCAGATAGATCTCTCACAGTATTGTGAAATGACAGAGCTTGTATTGGTGAAGTATGGATAGCATAAGAACCCCAGAACAGCCCTGCAGCAACAGACCAAGAGTCCAGCTGGTCCCTGTCCGTTTCATTTTTAAGTCTTTGCTTTAGAGCTCCGTGGATCTTTGGCATTTCTGCCAAAGAAGGTAGGCTTCCGAAAACCTTTAGTGAAATGGCAGAAAATCTGAATTTAATAGATATTTGGAGAAATAAACATTTATTAGATAGGGAATTCACGTTTTATTCACATGTGCATGGAAGTAGTGCCAGAAATGATGTCATCTGGATATCTAAAGAATTGGAATTAATAGTAAGAAAAATAGAAATAATACCAAGAACATTATCGGACCCTAACCCATTATTAATGGAGTCACTGGGTACTTCTAAATAGTAATATAAGAATAATCTAACAACCTGTTCCCAGCAGGAGGAAGAGAAATCCGCTCACAGCATGATATATGCACCTGGGATGCCAGGTGGGTCCAACAGGAAGGATGCTTGTGGAAAATTCAGCTGTGAAGCCTAGATGATTCAAAGGCAAGGTGTGTTTAGGGAACCCTCTGTGGGTGGCCCCTCAAGAACGATTGGCTTGGGGATGTTTAGTCAGGAGAAGAGGAGATTGAGAGGTGATCTGATAGCCATCTTCAAATAGCTGGAGGGCTGTCCATGGATGGAGCAAGCTTGTTTTCTCCTGTTCTGGAGGGGAGGACCTAAACCAGTGGAATGAAATTACAAGAAAAGAGATTCTGACTAAGCAATGGGGGGGGGACTTTTTGTTGCTCAGACCAATAAAAACATCCTAGCATCAGCCCTTTCCTTAAAAACAGTCAGCTCCAAACGTTCTGCAGGGATAAATCTGTCTTCACATGCAGGTGAAAGGATATGAAGGAGGAAGCCAATAGAACATCCCAAGGAAGGGAGTTCCAAAGTCTGGGAGCAGCCACCAAGAAGTCCCTCTCCTGTGTCCCCACCAAATGTGTCTAGGAGGGTGATGGGTCTGAGCCTCCCCCAAAGATCTCAGAGCCCAGGCAGATTCATATGAGAGAATATCTATCTTTCAGATAGACTGGACCTAAGCCATGTATAGCAGCAGCTTGAATTAATTCTAAGCAAAAACAACAAAACAAACAGAAAACGTGCATGAAAAGGCTGATTTGAAAGTTCAACTTATGTGAATGGTAGTGTATTCGGCATCATATGCTAATGAGCATTTTTTGCTTTAGCTTATACATGCAGTCCTTGAATTAATTCTAAGCTTATTTTCTGTATCCTCCACACCCCCGTAATCATTGTGTCCAAATGTGTTTTCAAATGCATACACGGTTCCTTATATTTTCCTTCCCCAAGTTGAATTTATGTATACTGTAATGTGCCTTTGATTTTCCTTTGGTATGTTTTAGGAATATGGTAACATCTTGAACACACTGAAAAACAGTCACTAGTTTTTTGATTATGCACTTTAAATTTTTTTTTAACTGATTTCAGCCTCTGGTCATATATGGCCCTAACCCACTTGCCCCCTGGAGCTCCAAAATTAAGGAGCTTGGTTTCCAGGAGGTGGGATAAGACCAGCCTCTTTTCA